TTCGGGGGATATTTACCTCGCCAAATTATCCAAGAAACTACCCTTCAAATGTAAACTGTACCTGGATAATTTCTCCTCCGAGTTCATCTGGTGAATTGGTGGTTATATTTGAGCAGTTTGATATCGAAGATGGCTACAAAGGGGTTTGTAGGTATGTTCACTATCTCTGCGATATGAGAGATCGTATTAGTAAACAGGTGATTTATACTAAACAATACATTTCGTTCCGCTATTACTTCCTTTATTAGTTGGCTATTTTGATATTCAAAAAGGGGCTGGCGCATGGTCACAACATTGCAGTTTTTGTAGCAATCAAAAAAGATATGTGCTAAAATTAGAATATTTGCAATATTAAAAAAAAAAACAATAAAAAATCAAAGAATGTATGGAGATTGCTCTTTTGGGCTGAACGTGCAAGCTGAAATGCACGTATTCGATTCTTTCGTTTTACGTAACAGCGGCCATCTTGTTGGAACTTCAACAAATGTTTTCTRATTAGTATCTTTTGTTCATCCCTCCAACATGGCCCGGCGCCGGTCTTTTATCTTAAGTATCTCATGGGAATGTTTGAAAGCGATCAATAAACCCTTTTAGCGATTTCTTTTACCTTGTGTTAGGCCCTCTTTACATGAGATAGTGTGCCCCTAGTGTAAAGGCAAAATCATTTGTTTTAGATCCTCCAGGGAAAAGAAAACAAAAGAGTTAGGCCTACCGCGTAAGGGCACCCTCATGTAAACAGGGTCTTAGCTTCAAAAACATGTGATAAATTATTTTATTAGCTAACAGCCCATGTGAATGCAAGAGATTCGTGAGTATAGAAGACAACGAAAATAATTTGAAAGTTCACGAGTTTTATCTAAATTTCTGAATATTTTGCACACACTTGAGGCTAAGACAGCGTAAAAGAGATCGCGAAACTCAACTATTGCGCTTGCCGCTCTCTCACTAACAGATTCGATTAAATTATTTTAGCAATGACTTCGTGAAAGTATTCAAAWTGTTTGGCACAATAATCSCGAGTGCTGTTTGTGGTCAAAGAAGTCCCTTCTCAGTTAMWWRAGGAACAAAAACGACAATCATCTTTCTTCGATCAGACGGAGGTATTGAGAAAAGCGGATTTCAGGCAGTCTACTTCATACTAAGCGATATTAAGGATGAAGGTAAATTCATTGTGAATTCCCGTATTTAGAATTATTATTACGCTTTAGATATAAATATTAGCTTAAAGATGCTATACTACAGCTTTCGACAAATAATATTCGAACATCTAGCTCCGATATTATCCACCAACCCCTGTTTCAAAAGCTGGTTRGTATATTGTCAGCCTGTGCATCTTTGTGAGAAACTTTGAAGCATGGGATTGGGGTGTTCACAACATTTTGTCGAGAGCTGTACATTGTAGGTAGAAAAGGATTTCAAATATGTATATTGTCAATTTAAACAAAGCCGAATTTGAAAGGTTTGTCKKCCCGAAAGGACATTTTCAATGTTTCAGTAGTCAATTCAACTGACAACTCGACAATAACCGCACGTGGAACATTCTGTAATAACATACATGTAATCATAAAAATATCTGTCCTCTTTTAAAACATTATTCACTTCTCCACTACTTCACACAACTGACATATTCTAGACCAACGTGGAAAGAAATCGCGCTCCTTGAAAAAATGTTAATTTAATGTAAACATGATGTAAATTCAATCTATAATAATTCTAAAGGTTGTAAATATCCTGTAAGTGTCCAAACCCATGGACATATCGTGTAAATTTGGATTTTAATTTACAAAACATCTCTATTAAACTTACATCGTTCGAAAAAAGTGTGTAAATGTGATGTAAATATTACGTAAGTGTCCAAAATCATGTAAATATAACTTACATTATTTTTACATCAAATTCACAGCACAGTTTTTTTTTTCAGTGTAGATTGACAACCTTTTAAGATTGGCTTTATTTATTCCACAGTTATCGATTTAAAACTCGGTACCAAAAATGCGACAGCAGCCTCTTTGTCGTGGTCGACACATTTGTCCAGTTCAATCGACTGGTTTTATGTTTTATACAAAAGAGATGAAGTAAACGAAAACTGGAAAGTCYTTAAAACAGCAGCGTTAGCTGCAACCATCGATGGTCTACTTCCTTCTACACCATATATTGCCAAAGTCATTGGAAATAGCAGTGAAAAAGCTTATTGGAGTAATCCAGWGAAGTTTACAACATCGRATTGTAAGTTTTGTATGGTTTTTATGCGGTTTCGAGATATTTGACAACAGATTCTCTTGTACAAAGACAAAAGAGATCACCAAATAAATTCGGGGAAGATGTAAATTTTGTTAGTGCTATTGTATTAACAACATTTCCTTGTGCTTTCTTTTGTGTTTGATTATGTATTTGCGTAAGAGAGTCTGCTGTGAGATTTAATCAGCGGTTATTCGCTTTGAATTCGAAACTGAAGTATTTGAATGAAGGAAAATCTATATTCATCATNCAAGTCTTCTATCATGTGTATTCAACTCTAGATAACACTTTAAAGTCCAAAAAGGTCCTCGATCAAGCAACCTCTGACGTCCATTTGCTCAAACAACACTCATTACCATCCACGTTCAAAGCTTCGTGGGTTCTAGTTGTAACATGGGATAAACTTCGTCACTATACAATCAARGATCATACAAAAAATTTGGTTAGTATAATAGATATTGAATTCAAATCAAATAACGACCTAGAAATGCCATTCACTTCCTAATCCATTCTTACTTCTGTTTCATATTCATTTCATACCCTATTTTCATGAAAGCTTCCTTKGCTTTAATTTGTTTCAAACCTTGACCATGGGACATTTAATAAAAGTCCTGTACATCTTGGGAATTTTGTTATATTTTACACAGAGAAATACATTCCAAGTTGTTCTGATAACAGACGGTGTGTTTTCATTCGCAATGTATAACTATCCCACAAACGGAATTGAATGGTCAGCGCCAACGTCAAGGTGAGATAAATATCTCTGTTTATGATAAATATGTAAACGTCCATTGTGTTTGTTTAATCTGTTCTCCTTTGGTCGTTCTGGCGCTTCATAATGTTATGGGTTCCATTTCATATCAAAGAACTACTGTCATTCGTTTCGCAACCATATATGGTAATATTCCCTTATTTGCAAAGGAGATGAGCTCTTGAGTTGTCTTGTTTCGTTTTCTATTTATCTGCTTTTCACCGTTATATTTCTTTCAAATTATAACTRTGTAACTGATAGGCAAAATTGGAACCTTTTTACAAATGACCGGGGACTTCCAGTGGTTGGTTGGAATTTCGCACAATGCAGTCTAGCTGAAAACTATTTCAATGCAGAAAGGTAAGATTTTTTCCCTGTTTCAGTATTCATAAACATTCACTCAAATATAGTTTTTAAATATGTATTCTGCTTGTTGTTATGGRGYTTTGGGTATCTGTTTTAGGTCTGGAACGGTAAACATTGGAGACATTGACGATACAGATGGTACAAGTGTGTACTTCAGTCAGGGTGGCAGGAGGAATTCAAAACAAAATGATATTAAAGGAAAATGGTTCTTTGAATTATATCATTATTCGAAAGTATCTTATGGCGAAAGAAAATGCAAAAACTGGTTTAAAACTCAGCCAGATCCAAGACCGTTCCTGGAATATCTGGAACCATGTCCCTGCACGTCTCGTCAAGCTTGGTTCGATGAACGGTTCACTCCACTTCTTGGAATGCAGGGGTGGTTGGGGTGGTGGCGTTGGAGGTCCAATCCAAGGCCGTGTGCRCTTTCAACATTTCCTTCCATTGACGGTTGGGAACAGAAGTGCTGTTATTCCCATGAATCTGGGCAGTGGGGAGCATTGCTTGTAGGTCATCCTAACGGAGGCTACTCGCACAGATACAGTAAAACCAAGCAATCGGGAAGTCATATAAACAGTGATGTCATGGGCTACAAATATTGCTGTGTGGATTCTAATCTTTGCCATCTTTTCTATCAAAGAAGACCTTCAGATGACTGTAG